CGCTTCAATTTGTTTAATGTGAGGGCTGAAAGTCTAGGCTTCACACTTTGGGGCAGCAAGGATTCGATGGTTCCCACGCATGCCACGCAGGCCTGCAGGTAACTACTGTGGCTTTCAGCATGTGCTAGTTTCCCAAAATAAGAGAGCCCCAGTATAGACCCCAAAATGCTATAGTCCTTATTATGGGGACCCCCCAAGAAGTGCCCCTAATTTTGGAAGACCCGCACGTAAGTCTTCGGTCAACCTTTGGCTTGGAGGCTTGAATGTAGCGGGTTTTTCAGTATGTAGGTGATTTGCTCTTGAGTTGGGGCGGTGGAGCCTGAACTCAGAAGGCCAAACCCACAGGTCGATTAACCTAAACCTTGGGTCATTCCCCCTCCCAGCAACGGTCAAATACTGGTTGTTGTATGAATATTTCTAGGCCCTAGTATGACCCCTAATAAAGACTGTTACTGTAAGGGGGAATGACCCAACCTAAACACTCTTGCGCTGGTTTGACTTCTTTTCACTTTTTTGAGAGAATCTGGAATTCCTAAACCCTCCTTGTGCTAGTTTCATTTCTGCTTCATTTTTGGAGAGAAAGCCTGAAGCCCGCACTTACAAACTAACATTGGGGAAGGGTGAGTTATTGCAGACCTAGACACTGATAGTCCGTGGGTCAGGTGGAACTGGCGATGTGGACTTCTGTCATCATTGCCTGAGGCATCAGGGGGTTCCATGTGTTCTCTCACAGGCTGCAGCTTTCATTATTGGTAGAAAAACAGTGATTGGGCAATGCACTATCTAGAAGGGACCATCGAGCTCCTTCAGTGATTCAAAGCCAAAGCAATGCCATCTATTGAATCGTAAGCGCTGAATTCATGCTCCAAATCCGGAGGCGTGTATAAGCTACGTGAAACCTTCAGGTTGCCATATACTTTTTTTTCATACGCGTGCAATCGCTTGAATTACCAGTTATTAAAACACTCACACGTTATCAAGATGGGGTATCCTGGATATGTATATTTGATTGTAGGCGGTTCGTATCGCGCTTGTATTGTTTACGGGCTATTGCCCCTTATGCCCTTCCAAACACCTCTTGCCCCTTTAAGACTATTCTTTGGGGATTTGTGCGCTCCCCATATGATTCAATGATTCAGTTCCCTGGGACGCACCCAGGATCTGGCCTCCCGAAGAAGTAATCTTGAGAGGGGGTCTTTTAATGAGGGATGATTCTGTCAAGTTCGGGTCCTACTTGGGCATATTCCCGTGAAGTCTATTGTGGTGTAGGAAACAGGGGATAACAGATCTCAAAAATATCTTATTAGTCATGATGGCCAGTAACCTTAAATGCCTCTGACCCCTGGAAATGCAACCTGAAGATTGACGCAGGCGCAGTCACGCAGACTTGGCGCAGCCATTCGCCGGCGCGCCAAAAAAGCAATTGCTCGCGATACGAGTGTACATTTAGTACTGTTCCAGGGTGAAGGTTCTAGGGTTAACTTAGGGCTTTTGGGTTTAGGGTCTGGGTTTCGTTTATTTAGAAACGCCTTGAATCCGTGATGAGGTGAGGCAGAGGTCTCGGGCTCAGGGTTGAAGGTTAAGGGTGAAGGGTTTAGGGAAATGAGCTCTTCCTTACCTTCGGAACAGGGAGCGAGTCATTCCCACTCATACAATTTTTCCCTTGTGGCTGACAGTCCAACGTGACACGTTTCAACTCATTATCATCATTTGTTCTTTATTCCATCATGGCAAAAGCCGTGAAACCCTAAACCTTAGACCCTAATTAAACCCTCAACCCTAGACCCCTAAACCCTAGCACCCAAACCCTAAATCCTTTCAACTCATCATCGGTATTTGTTCTTTATTAGATCTTTCACGTCATGATCATTATTGGTTCTTTGGATCTTGCGAAAGGGTGATTCAGGAGGTTGCTTGTATATTGCTCCATGACTCTGATTTGGTCTCATCATCAGTACTGGTTGTTTAGATCTTGCGAAAGCCGTGATAGGCAGGAGGCTGCCTGTATATTGCTCCATGACTATGATTTGGTCGGAGGTGGTTCTGCTCAGGTTTTCCGCTCTGTTGCACCCGTGACTTCGTAATCCCGGAACCTAGAACCAACCTTCTATGGACCCCGGTTTTCAAGCGCCCGTGACATTCCCAAGCTTGCTGTATCACGGGTTATAGCAAAGAGCCCAAAAATTGGGGTAACCTAGAACCGGGGTCCCCGACCAAACGCATATTATAAGGGGGACTATATCCCTACGTAGGTCAATAACATGGCCTGGAATCCCTGGCAATGATCCCATTAATCCCTTTATAACCCTAGAAGCCCAGGTACCCATATAGTAGGTCCTTGGGTCATAGATAGTATAAGTCTATATAGGGACTTAAGGACAGGAACCTATTATATAGGGAACTGGGCTTCTAGGGTAATATTATCCTCCCCAAAATCCCCTATAGAATCCCCCTATATCCCTAGGTCCTTAATCCCCTTATAACATGACCCTCCCCATAATCCTCTATAGAGACCTACTATATCCCTAGGTTCATAAGGCCCCCCTATTTAGAGAACACTGCGACAGGAGGCATCCCAAATGTCCTCCGAGGAGCCTCGCCGAACAAAGGCTTTGTCCTGAGAATGATTGTTTAGGGTTTGGGTTCAGGGTTTAGCGTTTAGGGTTCAGGGTTTACAAGGTTCAAGGTTTACGGCTTGGGGTTTAGGGTTTATGTGACGACTAGGAGATGGTTCTGAGGAAGCATGACTTTCTCAGGCAGCTTCTAGGCGATATAAGGAAAAATCCGGTAGTCAAAGCCTGAGGATGCCACGAGCACCTCCGCCGCATCAGTGACCTGGAGAAGCGTTCACTTAGATGCAGGCTTTCCGGTATCCCAAGTACCTCATTACGGGGCACTTGGAACAATCTAGTGCGCGTTTCGAACAGTTCAAGCTCAGGTATAGCAGTGATTCAGTAGACTTGGACATCCCCTAACCACAAGAGAACACGACCTAGTCATTATCGTCATCATCATCATCACATCGCGTGAAAAGCAGCTAAATCAGGGAGGGCATCCGAACAAACAGCAGAATTACTCTTGTAGGCCCTCAGGTGCCCCAACAACATGAGGTTTGGGTGGTAGACTGTATAGGATCTGGGGTGTAGCGTCCAAGTATCCTATTTGCAGCCCACCCCCCCCCACCTCCCCCCCCCAAAAAAAAACAAAACACACACACACACACACAAACATGCATCTAGTCACGCGTATGTAAATAGGAACCATTGCTACAAAAGCAATGTACTATTGTAGATACGTCGAATCAGGTAGCGTATGGCAGCCTGGGGAAAGCGGACTTTCCACTGGTATCAAAGCACCATAACTTGAACATACACCAGCGTAGCGAGCTCTTCTTCATGCCGTACTCAGGGAGGAAATAATTCATACCGAGTGAGATTGAGAATGCTCGAAAAACATTAGGTCTCCTACCACAAACCCTAAACCCTACACCGTATTAGATTCAACTGCACACGTGTTGAGTCTCCAGGTGTTGTCTCCCTCAAAATGAAGCTTCATTCACTCCAGGACATTCCGATGCCCAAAGCATGTACTCGATCATTGATGATCTTGCATATATAAGTAAAGGCTTTAGGGTTTAAGGCTCACGGTTTAGGGTTCAGGGCGCAACAACTCTACATCACCCTGCCATGTGAGCTATAGACTTCAAACAGCCCCGGATGAAGCCATGGGTTAATTCCGCGAGGGCATTCGGGTACTGCTTACACGGACACGCGTCGAAAAAGGTTGGTACTCTTTCAATAATGTGTTATGTATGTATACACTTTTCCCCACACTACCATGAAATCCCCATTTAGGCCCGCACCAAAAAAAACTGCAAAAATCTGATCTTTAAGTTGCATGTGGTTTTGGTTGGGGAGGGTACATACAAGTGCGGGAGTTGTTTAAAGACGACTCCGCCATGGACTTGCCCAGTTGAACAAACAATCCTCAGCGCTTCGCTACAGGTTCCCATTGGGATACAGTTTGAAAACAAATGTGTACTCCATGTCAGGCTATAGTACAACAAACTTTGCGTTATGTTCAAGTTATTCATGCTATCCCTGCACATCGTGTATGAGGAAGAGCCCCTTCCAACTCCTTTCACCACAAAATGGCGAGACCCACTCAACAAGATTGCACAAGAACCCCATATGTACACATACACACACACACACCACAGTGCACAATACAAAAGCTGCCGCATATGCAACTGACGCCCAAGTTCAAATACAATTTACAAAAGCAGAAACAGCCCAGAACCTGCAATCAACCCCTCAG